GCCTACTTCCTCTCTGTCTGGCAACCAGGGCATTTTCCATCTGTCTCCTTGGTGGGCAGCCGAGCACCACCAGGCAGGGCAGGGCCTCCTGTGCCTCAGTATCCCCAGCCTGCATAGAGCAGAGCTGACAAACAGCTGGACAGCTGGCATGGGCAGTGACTCCCTGAGCTCTCCTGTGGTGGGGGGTCTGACTGAGCCGGGCCGACTGCTGTCTGTCCTGTCGCTATGCCCAGCAGGTGACACCCGGGGACAGGTGGGCAGGCTTCTCCTAACCACTCCTGCACCCCGTTCGGGGTCCCTGGACTCTGCTGTCCAGACTCTTGTGTCGTGCCCTGGGACTGGGACAGGCCTGTCTCCCACAGCCTCCTCCCTCCTCCCTGAGGCCGCATAAGTGCTCACTAGCTGCTGGGCTTTGTTTGCATGGAGTCACAGCTGCCTGTGTTGGCTTGAAGGCTAAAAATAGGACTAGGCGGTCCTGTGACAGCCTGCCCCTCCCCATGCTGACACCAGGATGCCTATGTAAATATTTGGGGTTGTGTGTGGCTGGGACCTTTTCCTTTCCAGGTCCCCTCACCCTGGCTCCCAGAGCAACACTGGGAGAGAGAGAGAGAGAGAGAGAGAGAGAGAGAGAGAGAGAGAGAGAGAGAGAGATGGCCTGGGTTGAATATGCTCCAAGCCAGCACATTATTTACTGGGTGCCTGTGTTCAGGGCCACTCCAAGGAGCAGAGGGAGGCTTCCCTCCACCCACAGCCTTGGGCAGGTCCTGTAACTCCCTGAGCACCAGGTTTTCCCATGTAAGCAGGTGATGTTTAGAATAAATGCAGTCACACGTGTGAACACAAGGCAGCCTGCGCACAGTGTTCTCGCGCAGTGTGAGCCGCTCCTGCAGCCATCCTAGCCTGCTGTCTGCTATGCCCACGAACTTTAACTTTGCACCAACTCAGTGTGACGCCCAGCCTGTGAGATGCTGGGGCTGCGGTGGTGAAAAATTTGCTGATTGCCAAGAGATGCACATGTTTGAGGAGTTTATTGGCCCTCTGTAGAGGGCTGCAGGCGAGCCCAACAGAGGACCGCACAGTTGGGATGAAAGCTTGAGATTTCTGGGTTCGATTTTAAGGTGAGGAGGAGTCTGTCAGTGACACTCAGGGCCTCTCCAGGTCAAGGTGGCTTCAGTGTCACTCGTCCCAGTTCTGAGTACAGCCAGGTGCTGTGTCCTTGGGGGTCAAATTAGCTAGCAAACAGGTGACAAGGGGGACAGAATGATGTGCATGTTGGAAGGGGCCCCTGACGTCACCTGGGGCTGGGGGTGGAAGGGCTGTTGGAGAACCACAAGCAGTCAGATCTGTCATGTGCACAGCCATTGTGTAGCCCTTGAGGTGGAAGTTACTGCTCTGCTGCAGGCGCTGCCCGGAGTGAGAGGTTCTGAAGGAGCCCATGGGGTCCAAACCCATGTCTGGCCTTCGGTCTCAGGAGCTCAATTTCACCTTTGCAGGTCATCACCCACCACCATGACCTTAGCTCACACTAACAGCTGCCCGAGTAGGGGACTCCCCAGCAGGAGAAAGGCTTGTAACCAAGCCTAAAATAGAAATGCGGCCCTGGATTGGTGCACAAGCACTGAGACAGCCAGCTGAGCGGTGGGCAGCATCTCGGGCTGACCCAAACCGTGGGCAGTGGAAGCTGCAACCCCCAGGACAAGGTGGCCACCAGGCTGTCCTATGCAGAAGCCCAAGGGTATGTGCCCAGCATGGGGACGGTTGACTGCCCGGGCATGGGTGCCATCCGTACCGGCTTTCAGGTCTGGTCATGGTGTAGGGGTGAGGGAGTCCCAGGCCCTTCCCTGAGGACAGCCATCTAGCCTCCCTGCTCAGGGGAAGGGAAGGCGCACAGGAAGAACAGTCCCAGCTGCTGCTTGATCAGTCTGGCTCCTTGGAAGGCCACAAAGCAGCTTGTGTGTGCCAGAAACAGGGTTGGGGCCAGAGCCGTCAGGGGTCCAGCTTCCTGTCGGGATGGACCCCGAGCTTGTGCCTGGCAGAGGGTCCCCTAACACTCCCATACCATGTCACTGACTGCTCCCTCCACAGCCTCTTCTTCCCTGGACAGGTGCCACATGCTGTATGACAGCTGCTGACAAGACGGCCACAGAGTGCACCAGCCCAGCCTCTCCCAACTGTGGACACAGCGGGACTCGCTATGGCCTCCAGCGGCGCCGAGGGCCAGCTGCAGAGAATCATCCATGACCTGCAAGGTGTGCCTGCCCATGAGGAAAAGCCGGAGCCCTCGCGACACATGTTTAGACTATCTGGAGCCCTTGCAATGCATGATGTTGAGTGTCCTCATGTGGGGTCGGGAGCGCTTCCCCATGCGCCAGAACAGCAGTTTGTAAACAAAGTCACCCGTGTCTGGTTTCAGTGTGAGAGGCTCAACTGCCTGCGAGGCTCTGGTGGCTGCTTTGGAGTAGGATGTAGCCTGCCCAGAACAGGCAGCCTGATCCCTGTCGGTCTTGGCTTTCTGCCCAACCCGGTCCCAGCTGGCCGATGCCCTGCTGCCAGTGATGCCCCCCGGCCCAGGCCCACTGTCCCTGTGTGGAGAGGCTGAGACACACATGTGGCTCGCATTGTGGCTGGGAGAGCCTCACACAGGGTTTTGCAGATGCGGGCACAGATCGCTCTTGACCCTGTTGGGAAACTGCTCCCTCTGACTGGGAAGCAGTGTGAGAGACCCGGAGGAGCTGGGGTCCGGCTGGCCACCACAAGGCTGCCCGATGGCCAGAAGGCCTCCAGCTCGGCTGCACCTCAGGAAGGCTCTGCACCTCCCACTGACACCAGAACTGGGGAACCAACCTTTATCAGGAGAGCCTTTGGGGACACTTATCCAAACAGCAGCCTTCAGCCCCGGGCCTATCACTGGCCCTGGGTGAGGGTGGACAGGGAAGGCCAGGGCCACTCAGGCTCACTGACCTGGCCTCTGCCCCTGGTGCCTGCACACCCTCTGTCACACTTCCCTCTCTGCTCACACGTCCCTGACTTGTCTTAAAGATGCAGTGACAGAACTAAGCAACGAGTTTAAGGAAGCAGGAGAGCCCATCACTGACGACAGCACCAGCTTGCACAAGTTCTCTTACAAGCTTGAGTACCTCCTGCAGGTAAGCGCCACCCGCACAGGCAGACCTGAGCCATTGCCCTCTGTCCCTCTCAGTTGACTCGTCAGCTCTCAGGACATGCTTATCAGGACAGAGCTGTCCCCAGCAGAGCTTTTCCTTCAGCCTGTCTTCTGCAGGGGAGGAGCAGTGGGGCCCTTGGGGTGGCGTGGGAATTGAGAATACCCCTTAGAGATCTGGGTATCCTCAAGCAAGTCCAGAAGGCCTGTGCCCAGCAAGGGTCTTCACTTGGTGGTTAACTGAGTCCCTGTGTGAGTTTGCTGGGAGCAGGGTGTCTCCCCAAGTAGACTTGCATATAGATCCCCACGCAGTAGCTTCCTGGGTGGTGGGCCCTCGGAGGAGATCCCCACGCAGTAGCTTCCTGGGTGGTGCGCCCTCGGAGGAGATCCCCACGCAGTAGCTTCCTGGGTGGTGGGCCCTCGGAGGAGCTCCATTGTTTGAAGTGCACTGTGACCAGCATCATCAGCACCCAGGGACCATGCCCCACCCTGTCCTCCGGTCCCGTGGGAAACTCCACCTCCTACAGGAGCTCCCAGCTGCCGGTCACAGAGGCCTGCGCTAGCTCTGCAGATGTGGGAAGCGTCGGCTGACGCGCACAGCAAGGCAGTGGGCCCAGACAGCGGTACTGGGCATCACGGTTTCCTCTTCCCTGTGTTTTTATTTTTTTGTCTTCATTTCCTAACAATGTATGTGCATCTTGCTTCCATAACCAGAAAAAAAAAAAAAATGCTATTAAACACAGATCTGTCCTTTCCCTTTAGAGTGCCACCTCCCTCCAAAGCACATAGAAGAGACCACCAGGGGAAAGGCCAGGTGTGGGAGGGCACATCTTCTGGGCTGCTACCTCACTCTTTATGTGACCTTGTAAAATGTTTATGGACCTCCTCCCCCCAGCTGAGCCCACTTTGGGGTTGGATTTGAAGTGACTCAGCTGACATTTATTCAAGCTTGTTATGTGGGTAGTAAAACAGTACTGCAACTTGAGCGTTGAGTACCTGGATGAAACATCATTACCTCACTGCCCTCTGTGGCCACGTCCACACTCTTCACGCAAATGGGCTGTCGTGTGCTGGAGCAATGCCCATTCTGCGTGGCTTTCTGCTGTATTCCATGTATAGAAGTCCCAGAAGGGACAGGTCTTTTGAGGCTTGTCAGCAGATGAACAGATAAGGAGATGCACAGAGGGCGTTACTCAGAATGAAACAGTCATTTATAGAAAAATAGATGGAAATTGAGAGCGTCATACTGAGTGAAATAAACCAGACTTGAAAACAGCAGAAAATAAATAAAAAGGAAGGAGTGAGGGGGGGAGGAAGAGATGCTGGGAAACCAGAAGGCTAACTCGCAGACGCAGAGGGCAAGGGTTGGGAGGGTGGGATGCTCAGGACGGCTGTGCAGGACCAGCGCGCGACCAGCCTCCCGGCTCCGCGTCACAGACGTGCACAGATAGAGGCCTTGGTGGCAGCTGCTTGCCCCCAAGTAGCACGAGTTCTAGGTCCTTGAGCCGGTCTCTCCCAGCCTCAGTTTCCTCATCTAAAAATGGGGAGTTAAAACACCCTCATTTTGTGATTAACATAGCCTGATTTGTCAATAAGTAAAAATATCCCCATAAAGGACCTGCCAGGGACAGCACCCAGGAAGCTCTTACTATTTACCTTTTTTTTTTTTTTTTTTTTCTGAGACAGGGTCTCACTGTGTAGCTCAGGCTGTCCTTGAACTCACTTATGTAGGAAAGGCTGGCCTCACGCACTGTGATCCTCCCGCCTCAGCCTCCTGAGTGCCGGGGTTCCAGGTGTGCACCACCACTCCTACTGTGTTTATCCTTTAAATAATGGGGTACCCAGCAGGTCATAGCCCTCATCTCTCCCTGCTTTCCCTCCTCTCTCTCTGCCAGTTCGACCTGAAAGAGAAGGCCAGCCTGCTGGGCACCAAGAAGGACTACTGGGACTACTTCTGTGCCTGCCTGGCTAAGGTGAAGGGCGCCAACGATGGTATCCGCTTTGTCAAGTCCATCTCTGAGGTAGGTGGGGTACATGGGACCTGTGGGGTCCTGGGCGGGGAGAGCAAGACATCAGTCCTGTAGCTTTCTGCACCCTAGGTGCAGGGGCTGTGGCCCAAGGCAGCGCAGCCACTGAGTGTCTGCACACAGGGCACTCAGCCCTGCATGTCACCCACCGGGGCCCACTCACATCACATCTCTGTCACAGCACACTGGGCACCTACTGACCCCTAAAATATGAGGCACAGTCCTGCTTTCTAGAGCTTGTCTGTGAGGACGTTCCTGTCCACACGCCATGGGCCTCATGAGACTTTCCAGGCCCAAGGAGAGCAGTACTGAACGGCCAAATCCTGAAGAGTTTCTCACTCCTAGCTCCTGTCGTCCACCCTCAGTCACCACATCAAAGTGTGTGACGCCTTCAGCTGTGTGGCTGGGACAGTTCCAGCCCAGAAATAGTTTACTTTCAATCCCCGCTTCCCAGCCATACAAAACATTTGCTGAAGCAACCTACTTTGGGGCCAGTTTCCTCTTCTCTTTTCATAAAGCAGTTGCCCTTTGGCCAGTTGTAGCCCATAGACATGGATTTGTAGAAGCTGATGCGTCCTGCATTTGTGCAGATGGTAGCCGGTCAGGGCTGCTTCTCCAGGGCCAGTTCCCTTGCTGGAACTGGCAGTGGCCTCACCAGACTGGCTTAACTCCCCCCTCAAGGCCCATGGGGTCTTCAAGATGGTGACAGAAGATCCAGAGGTGGATTGTGGGGCCAGAGGTGACCTTGGGCTAAAGCAAAGGGAGCTCACACAGGCTGTTCCCAGGGATTCAGTGGGCCCTTCAGAGATGGTACGTCCCCACCAGGGTCGGGCGCAGCACCCCTTCATGCTGGCAGCCTGTGTGCACGTGAACGCTCGGGGAGGGCTTGGAACCCTTCTCACTTACCGTCCGCACTGCTGGGTACCACTGCTTGGCTCAGCGCGCTGGAGCAGGGTAGATGCCCGCGATGTTCGGGAATAAAAGTGGACCCAGGATCTAAAACCACAGAGACAAAGAGGCCATGTGGTCATTGTCATTTCCGTACCAAGAAGCTATTGTTGTCCCCTTCCCCAAAGGATAATTAAGACTATATTTTAAAATAAATAAATAAGAAATTTAATAAGAAATATCCCCTGAGCTGTGGATATAGCTCAGTGGCACAGCACTTGCCTGGCAAGAACAAGATCCTGAGTTTGATTCCCAGTATGAAAAGAATAAACAAGTGAGATAAACAGTTCCCTATGTGTGTAAGGAGTTCACTTGGTGAACTTAACTTAAAAACATGGCCCCAAATGTTGGTCACTTAAAATATTTTCCTGTTCTGAAGACTGTTAATATTGGTCAGAGATGCTACAAATAAGGACAAGGACCTGCGTTGGAAGCTGACATAGGGCTGTTTGGTGGGGTCTTATTCAATTCAGTAGGGCCCATGGACATGAGTGTACGTGTGTGTGTCTGTGTGTGCACATAGATGTGTGTGGGTGTGGGTAAATTTATAGGTGAGTGTGGGCTTGGGTGAATGCATGATTGTGTGCTTGGATAAGTATGTGTGGGGAATGTGTGTGTGGGTGTGCATGGGTACGTGTCAGTGTGTGTAGGTATGGATGTGTGTGTTGGGGAATGTGTGTGGGTGTGGGTGCATGGGTGTGCACGGGTATTTGTGAGTGTGTACAGGGGTGTGTGGGTGTGCATGGGTATGTGGATGTGTGTGTTTGTATGTGTGAGTGTATGCACATGTGTGCATAGGTATGTGTGTTGAGTGTGTGGGTCTGTATGAGAATGTGCATGGGTGGATGGATGTGTGTGTTGAAGTGTGTGCATGGGTATGTGTGAGTAGGTGCACAGGTGTGTGTGTGTGTAGGTGAGTGTGTAGGTATGTGTACTCATGGGCATGTGGGTGTGCATGGGTATGTGAGTACATGGGTGTGGGGGTGTGACTGAGTGTGGGTGGGTGTGAATGTGTGTGTGAGACCTGCTCACCAACCCCCACTACCCAAGCCCCTGGTTATCCCTCCCAAGCGCTTATCCCTCCCCACCCTGGTTGGTAGAGTTGGACACGAGTATCACTGAGGTCCTTCTGGGCAACTTCTGTTGCCTGTTAGAGTCCCCTGCCGCCTGGGGTCTGTGGCCAGTCCGCGAGTCAGACTGCTGCCCCTTTGCTTTGGAGAGCCCTAGTTAGGCAGGAAGCTTCTTGAGAAAGAGCTCGCTGCTGGCTTGAGGGTTTTTGTTTTTCAAAACCACTTCGTACTGTGGCACTGAGCCCTCAAGAAGCAAAGGAAGAGCAGAGCCGCGTGTGGGTGCAGCATCCTGTGGGTGCTTGCAGCCTGCTGACAGGCCGGTGCCACGCCACGTGCTGCCTGTCTCCCTCCGGGTCCAGTTGGCTTCTCTACAACAGGAGGTGTTGGGACCCACAGGACTCAGACCCCTGCCCTCGCCATCACATTGCTGCTCTGGGGGAGCCCCTGAATTTGGAAGTTGGGGTCTGAACCCCTGTGCGCTTCTCTTGGCTTCTGGGGCCAACATTCATGAGTGGACCCAAGCTGGCATGCTCCTCTTAAGTGTCCCCCATGCTGTCCCCTTTATTCCCTTGTCCTGTTTACCACCCCTATCTGGCAGGGGCCTGTCTGAGACCATCCCAATGGATGCCCCAAATCCTCCTTGGAAGCCTGGGACACAGCAGGGAGCAGTTTCAAGACCAGCTTACCCTGACACCCCCCCCC